CTAAAATTTCACCATAGTGTAATTGCTGAGAAAGGAATAAATAGTCACATCAGTATCAACATAAAATGTCAATTTAGGTTAGAAATTTCAGAAACAGTAAGTTGAAGTAGATATGCCATGAGACATTGGTAAAAGAATGGTAGTTGTTTTTTTAAGTGATATTCAAGAGTATGTAGAAAATGCAACTGAAACAATTCCATTACATGTGAAACGCAGAGATTATATTATTTATTTATGAATTACACATATATACAGAATTATGTATATATTTTGAACAGTGCCTGTAATTTGTTGGTGTTTAGTGAATAAAACACCTAGACGTTAAATTCTAAATGAGTTACAGAGTACTTAATAGTCCTCATGCAAATTGTGGCCCTAATCAGATTATTTTGAAATTGAAGAGATTATTCCATTTATACTTTGGGAGTATAATGTTTTTCTGTTGGAAATAATTGTTAGCTTAATGTGTATGAAATACAAGCTCTTCTTTCTTCTTGAGGTAAAAGAACATGAAGAAACTTCGTTATGTATTTTTTATCAGAGAGGATTAGACATAATTTAACACAGGAAATTCAGAAATAACTATTGGTCCATGGCCCTATCTCACAATTGCTTTCAATGAGATATTCTAAAATAGAATATTCATGCATAATTCATCTCTGAAATGCTTACATCATGTATATATGTGTGAGAGGGAGATTCTGATAAAGATATTATAAATATAGTAAAATTATCACTTGTACTTCAGTCTTTGGTGTGGCTCCAAAATTTCTTCAGGTTTTTTACTTTTTTAAAATTTTGTTTTCTTTCACTAGCGACTATACAATTAACAAATCCAGTGAGCATTCAGTTTAGGCCAAAGATTTGTTCTTTTTAACATAGTACTAGAAAATTTTCAATCATATGTTATGTTTTTGAGACCTTTTTTATTCACATCAGCACCTTCATTTTTCAGTTTTTTCATTCACTTTACATAAAGTAATAAAATATTGAAATAATTACACAAACATTTCCACTTTTTATTGTTACCACTTTATGGAATAAACTTAATAACTGGCTCAGTAGTTGGAAGCCATTATATATAGACTTTGAAATGGACATTAGAAGATGGCCTTTTAGGAGTAAATATTTAGGATGTGAATAGAGAGCCCCTGAAACTGATCAAAACTCTGAAACATACACTGCCATCTATTCATGTAAAGATGAATGATAATTCTACAGCTACCTTGAAAGCATTTGAAGAATTGAAGAGTAAACTATAGGACTTAGAAACATTGGTGGTGTATTGAATATTTTTATTGTGATAAAATATACATAACATGAAATTTACCACTTTATTTTTATGTGTTCAGTTCAGTGGCATTAAATACATTCATATTGTTGTGCAACCATCCATGAATATTCAGAACTCTTCCCTCTTCCCAAACTGAAACTCTGTACCCATTAAACAGTAACTCCACATTTGTTCCATCCATACTCTCTCAATCCTTAACCACCACCATTCTATTTCTATGAATTTCACTACTCTAAATACTTAGTATAATTGAAATCATACAATATTTGTTCTTTTGTGTCTGTCTTATTTCACTTAGGACACTGGTGGGGATCGTTCGGCCCGAGGGCCGTCTAAGGCCCGTGAAATAATTTGGTCTGGCCCTGCCAAGGCATTAGGGGTGAGAGTTAATTAAATGTTTAACCATATACAGCAGGCTAATTTTAAATTGATAATTTTGTATGGCCTGAGAATATTATAAAAATCCAAATGGCCCTTGGCAAAAAAAAAAGATTCCCCACCCCTGACTTAGAATAACATCTTCAAGGTCCATCCATGTGATAGTATGTTTCACAACTTCATTTGTTTTTTACGCTGAATAATATGCATTGTATGTATATATAACAATTGGATATCCATTCAGTGACATTTGGGTGGCTTATACCTTTTGCGTATTGTGAATACTGTAGCTATGAACATGGGTGTACGAATATTTGCTTGACTCCCTGCTTTTTTAAAAATTGATTTTCAGAAAGAGAGAGAAATATCAATTTGTTGTCTCATTCACACACCCATTCGTTGATTCCTATATGTGCCCCAACCCAGGTATAGAACCCCACAACCTTGGTGCATTGGGATGACACTCCAACCAAGATACCCAACCCAGACAACTCCCTGCTTTCAATTCTTTTGGGTATATATACCCAGATGTAGAATTGCTAGATTATATGGTAATTCCATGTTTAATTTTTGAAAAGTAGCCAATACTGTTTTCCACAACACCTGCACCATTTTAAATTCCTGCCAAAAATATATAAGGATTCCAATTTCTCTAAATACTTCCCAAGACTTGTTATTTGTGTGTGTGTGTGTGTGTGTGTGTGTGTGTGTGTGTGTGTGTGTGTGGTTTTGTTTTTAATAATAGCTGTCTTAATGAGTGTGGGTGATCTTTTTTGAGATGAGGTTTGGGACTTTGAAAGAAAGCATGGGAAGTGAATTGCAGACTAAATATGGCTTTACATAGTGTTTAATGTTTTATTGTGTGTGTATAACAAAAAATCTAAAAAAAACTAATTTACATTTCAAAAAATATAGGAAAAGCAGTGCTCAGGAAAGTTTATAGTTGTAAATGCCTATGTTTAAAAAAAAAAAAAGATCTCAAATCAGTAACTAACTTTAACCTTAAGGAAATAGAAAAACAAAAAATCAAATCTAAAACCAGCAGAGGGAAGGGAATAATAAAGATTAGAGATAAATGAAGTAGAATATAGGAAAATAATAGAGTTAATGAAACCAAAGCTTAAAAAAAAAAAGATGAACAAACTTGACAAACTTTTAGCTCTAAAATTACTAAGAAAAAAGAAGGAAGACAACAATTTACATCATATAGTTCTATTGAAAAAATGGCCAAAGGATTTCAATAAATATTTCTCCAAAGAGGATATACAAATGGCTAACAAGCCCAGTAAAAGATTTTCATCTTCATTAGGGAAATGTAAATCAAAATCATAGTGAGATAGCACTTAATACTCACAGAGAAGGCTATAAGTTTTTTAAAAAACTGAAAATAAGTGTTGGCAAGGATGTGGTAAAATTGGAACCCTCATACATTGCTGGTGGACAGTAAAATGATACAACTGCTGTGTTTGTTGGGGTTTCTCAGTAAATTAAACATAAAATTACCATGTGAACCAGCGATTCTCCTAGTTATATACCTAAATAAATGATGCGATGTTCACATGAAAACTTGTACACAAATGTTTATGGCAACACTAGTCAAAATAGCCAAAAGATGGAAACAACCAGATATCTATGACGGATGGATGGATGAATAAACAAAATGTGGTATATTTATACAATGGCATATTATTCAGCCATATAAAAGAATGAAGTGCTCATACATGCTGCCACATGGAGGAACCTTGAAAACATAGTGCTAAGTGAAAGAAGCTGGACACAAAAAGAGCATACATAGTATGATTCTTTGTATATGAAATATTTGGAATAGGCAAATCTATAGAGATAATGCAGGTTAATGGTTGACAACGGCTGGGGGGAGGGGCAGTAGGGACTGCATAATAGTAAAGAGTTTCTGTTGGAGGTGATGAAAATGTTCTTGAATTGAGAAATAGTGACGGTTGCACAACATTGTAAATACACTGATTGCTACTGAATTGTACCTTTATAAATGGTTAAAGTTGCAAATTTTACATTATGAGTATTTACCACAATTTTTTTTTTTTTAAAGCTGTAGTACAACCCTGGCCAGATGGCTTGGTTGTTTGCAGCAGCATCCTGTACACCAAAAGGTCATGGGTTCGAGTCCTAGTCGGGGTGCATGCAGAAGGCAACTGATCAATGTTTGTTTCTCTCTCCTGTCTCTCTTAAAATCAGTAAACATATTCTCAGGTGAGGATAAAAAAATAAATTTAAAAAATTTAAATATTGTAATACGTCAGTCTCCTGTTTCACAGACTAGCGCTAGAGCTGATGACCAATGATATTAGCATAAATTGGAAGGGTTGTACCTTATAATTTGTGAAACATTTCCTAGGAAATTTTAAAAAATAAAATACAGTAGATCTCCCCCTTCCTCTCTTCTGAGTCATTTGGTCTGAGGTAGGGTCTAGGAATCTGTATATTAAGGAAACATTTTAGATGCTTATGATGTAGGTGTGCCTATCTGCTTATTCATGTAAAAATGCAGTGTTATACCATCATATATGGGACACTTTAGAGCAGCGATCGCCAACCGGTGGTCTGCGGACGACTGGTGGTCTGTAAGGTCCGAAAGGCTGGCAACCGCTGCTTTAGAGTGCTTTACATAAAAGTGTTTTACTCTGTGCTTTTATGAAGAGAAGCAAACAAGCAAATGTGAGATTGGCCAAATTTAAAAGTTAGATTTTCTTTTGTGCATGTGAGAAAACTGAGTCCAATAATTCAAAACTTCTCTATTCCCAAACCTTTAAATAAACTTACCCCTTAAGTGTATATGGCTGCTTTATCTGTGACTTTGAGTCTTCTGACCACACCAGTGTAGGCATCACATATTTATTCCTCCAGTCCTTCTACTGTGTAAATTTAAAAAGCAGAGGTTACTTTGTATACTTATAATTTATTAATATGAAATAACATGCTAAGATTTAACATTTAGTATTTCTAATTAAATTTCAACAGAACCTGAGCTATTTCTGAAAATTAGTGACATGTGGGGAATTTGTGGTTTAATTTGAAGCACAACCTAAAATCATGTACTTCAAAGCTGCTATGTGTGACAAGCAAACTATTTAGGTAACGAATGATCTAGCTGCAATTTAGCAATTTAGCATGACTTCCCTATAAATTTATTCTGATGAGATTAACTCTTGATACAAGACTATTGTATGCTGTATACCAGGGAGAAAAATGTGCTTACTAGTTCCAAACACTAATGTTTTACTTTTTTAAACTCCAATCTTTGAGAAATATTTTTAAATTTAGTGAAAATTTTTTTCTTAATCACCTTTAGGTCAAACAGGCATTCGAGAAGCTATTTCCATGTCCTGTATAACCAATGGGAGTGGCACAAACAGAAAACCGAGTCATACCAGCTCTGTCTCAGTTGCCAGAAAAGACACTTTTTCATCTGCTGCTAAAAGGTATCCATTTGTAAGGTGTGTGTGTGTGTGTGTGTGTGTGTGTGTGTGTGAGAGAGAGAGAGAGAGAGAGAGAGAGAGAAACATTGTAAAATAGTCGAATGTGATAACAGTCCACTTCTGAAACAAATGTGAAGTAGAGCTTATGGAATTGAAGTATGTCCTTTGAACATAGAGACATCTCAGCCTGTACTCACTCAGTTTATAATCATCATACCTATTGAGTTGTGTGAGGCAGCTTTTGGTTGTAGATTTAAAAAAACATTTGCATTTTCTGGGGGGTTTTTTTGGTTTCTTTTTAACAAGCATTTGTTGATAAGTTAAGTGTCACTATGTTTAATGTAACTACATAAGTGAATTTTCCATAGAAAGTGATACATTTGCTATAACATGCTTGCCTATCTATAATAATAAAAGCGTAATATGCTAATTAGACTGGACATCCTTCTGGACAAAGCCGCGGTGGTGGGGGCAGAGGCAGGCAGGTGGCAGGCAGTGGCCGAGCCCTTTGCACGAATTTCATGCATCAGGCCTCTAGTTTATAAAGTAGTGGGCATACAATTTCAGGTGTACAACATAGTGATTCAGCATTTTTATGTACCCTATGATGTGATCACCACAATAAATCTAGTAAATATCTGTGACCATACAAAGTTATTAAGATATTAATGACTATATTTCCTTTGCTGTACATTACATTCCTGTGACTTATTTTAGAACTGTAAGTTTGTACCTCTTATTCACCTTCACTTTTTTCACTTAACCCTTCCCTTCCCTTCCTTCTAGCAACCATCAGTTTGTTCTCTGTATCTGAGTCTTTATTTTGTTTTTTTTTTAGGTTCCACATAAAAGTGATATACAGTATTTGTCATCTTCTAATGCAGCTTTTTAAAGGAGAAATAGAGTCTTTGATAAATATCTACATTAGTGGGACGTTAAACACTATTATAACTTTTATTCTTTAACCATGACTACAAAATTAAGGCTTAGTTTAAAATATAGTACTGTATGGTATGTGTATTATGTATGTGTGTCAGGGATGGAAGACAGTGGAAATACTGTAATATAAAAGTTTCAGTGGATTACAGATTTATATTCTCTACTTTTCATCAATTAATTTAATCTTTTGTTTCAACAAAATTGCTTTTGTGTAATTCCTAACAAATTATTCCATATGGAGTTTGGAGAGACCACAAGAGATCAACTACATAGTCTTAGAGCTGTTTTCTTCAAAGAATAATTGAGGACCTTAAGTAATAGAATAATATTTTAAAATGTACTGATGGAAAATGGTTGCCTCGATAAACTAATGCTGGTGATTGAATGTTAACCAGGAATGGTGAAGAAATAACAAGATCTTTAGGCCTTTTAAAAGCCCCTTCTAGAATTCAGTCTTTGAAGTCATTGTCATTACAGAATCTAGACTTTCTTCTCCAAGGTATGCAAAAATTTATTACCTGTGCTCTACTCTCAGGAAAGAAAATGACAAATTATAAGAAGACAAATGCAGAGTGGAAATTTTTCATACAGTTTTTAATTAACTTCCTTGTATCCAGTAATAATTTAGATTTTTACCAAGCTATAGTTCTGTGCAATGATCAATATTATGCATGATAATGACTCAGCAGCCTGAGACCAACTGAGTTTGTTACTTTATGATTCAGGGGCTTGGTAGTATTTTGCTTTTAATAAATTTAAAGGAAAATCTCTTAGGTTGTGCTGGACCCCACATAAGAGTAGTGGCTTGTCCATTCAGGATAGTTTGAAGAACAAGGAAAAAAGCAATTTCTAACTCAGATATAAATTTCAAAGTTAATCTGATATTTTTGAGGTAAAATTATATGTCAGCACATACTTTAAAAAAACACACACAAAAAACTGAAAATGAAGTAGAGAGTTAAGGAACAGTCTGAAGGTATCAGAACTTAATCAGATTAAGAAATGTCACTGTCAAAATTATATGTTAACATTTTAAACTATTATAATGCGATAAATTGTATATAGTATGCATATTTGTTTAAAATGTTTGTAAACCTACTTCCTTGTAGATTTATACACCATATAGTCTAATTACAAAATGTCTTTGATTAAGTTTAAACAGTTGATAGTTTTCTACCTTTTCAACTCGGGAATTCAAGTCTTGATTCTATCTGCTTTGTAGTTTATGCAGTGTAAGGATTCTTACATCATGTGATTAGGCATGGCAGGTGCGTCATTAATCAAGAGTCAAAGTGTGAATACTGTCAACAATAAAAATAAAAGTCAAAGTGTTGAATCCCAAGAATTTATACATAAATGTTTGTTTTGGTTAATCCTCACCTGAGAATATTTTCTTCATTGATTATTTTATTTTTAGAGAGTGGAAGGGAAGGGGAGAGATAGAGAGAGAACATCCTTGTGAGACATATCAATTGGTTGCCTCCTGCAAGCACCCCAACCTGGGTAGGAATAGAGCCTGCAACTGAGGTACATGCCCTTGACAGGAACCAAACCCAGCACTCTTCAGTCCATGAAACAACACTCCAACCACTAAGCCAAACCAGCTAGGGCCAAAAATGTTTTATTTAACACAAAATATCTTATATAATAAAAGGGTAATATGCAAATTGACCCTGATGGCAGAACGACCAGGAAAGACTGGCCAGTCACTGTGACGAGCACTGACCACCAGGGGGCAGATGCTCAACATAGGAGCTGCCCCCTGGTGGTCAGTGCGCTCCCACAGGGGGAGCTCCACTCAACCACAAGCCAGGCTAAGGGCTGCAAGCACAGCTGTGGTGACGGGAGCCTCTCTGGCCATCTCAGCAGCGCTAAGGGTGTCAACTGTGGCTTAGGCCCACTCCCTATGAGGAGTGCCTAAGCTGTCGGTGGGACATCCCCCAAGGGCTCCCGGGCTGCCAAAGGGTTGTCTGACTGCCAGCCTAGGCCTGATCCCCAGGGAGCGGGCCTAAGCTGGCAGGTGGACATTCCCCGAGGGGTCGCAGGCTGGGCTGAGGGACCCCTCTCCCCCACCAAGTGCATGAATTTTCATGCACCGGGCCTCTAGTATTCACATATATTCATTTGTCAATTAAATGAGCCTCTCATCCCTTTCTAAGTATGCATCTCTGATTAGATGCCTTATTGATGATCTTGCATAAAATATACCCATAAATTATTTTTTTATAATTTTTAGTTGTAGTTTTTAAAACAGAGTGAGAAATTTTAAAACTCTTGCAAAACAATATGAATTAGAACCTGTATCTTTCTCTATGATTTTCCCCCCTTAAACTTTTATATTTGTCTCACCTACATAAAATGTAACAATAATTTTTTTAGTAACTCATTTATATGGAGTCTTTCTGGGGCATTTAACTTAGTGTTCATAAAGATTACAATTCTCTTTTCTTTGTATATTTTGTCAGTTTTCTTTGTATTTAACTACAATTAAAATAAGTACAGCTGGTGTAAACAGATTCAGGTGGGAAGCACAGTGAACTCTTGGTAAATTTAAAACTCAACTGGCAGGAGCAGAAGTATACAGAAGAAATGGGAATTAGAGAATAATCTTCTAAACATGGTCAGCATGCTTTGGGTGTCAGTATGTGTTACAAAGGTAATGGGAAGTGTCACTAATGCTCTCATTTGGGTAAGCTGAAATGAGATCTTCTATTGTCCTTCCAAACCTGCCAAGACGGTTTTGGGTCTAAAGGGGCAATAGATATATTACCTTATTATTCTTAAATTTTTCACTGAAGATTTTAATAGTAGCTTCCAGAATTTTCAAAGAAACATCTTCATTCCAATGAAAGCAGTGTAAATTGTATTCATATGTGTTTTAGGATTGAATTATATAATAATCACTTTTCCCGTCATTTAAATTTTTTTTTGTTTAAATTTGTGTTGTTCCATGTTATACTTTATTTTACAGTGGTACAGAAAAAAAGAAAGAAAAACCACAAGGACAGAGAGAAAAAAAAGAGGAATCTCATTCTAATGATCAAAGTCCACAAATTCGAGCATCACCTTCTCCCCAGCCCTCTTCACAGCCTCTCCAAATACACAGACAAACTCAAGAAAGCAAGAATTCTACTCCCACCAAAAGGTTTTAACTGTCCCTGAGTTCAGAGCTAGGGAATGGTTGTAATGATACCTAAATTCTATGACATGGGAAAAAGTTGGCTATCCATGGATTCCAAGAGAAAGCCTAGTGGCTTTTGTTTTTCCTTTATTGCTATAATCTATACTTTAGACATTGGAAAATGAAGAATTTAAGATAAAAATTTCTCATTTAAAACAGTGGGGTGGGGGGAACTAAGCTATGAACAGTTTGATGAAAGGAAAGCAGAAATAACCTACTCTAAAACCAAGACATTAATTTTCTAATAAAATTATAGAATATTTTAAATTTATATAACTATGCATAAATTTATAGCCATGGATAGAAAATTGCCATTTGTAATTATCCTCTTCATATTTTGGCATCATTACAACCTTTAGCTTTCAAGGGCCCCTCTCAACAAATGGCTCTTTATTGTTACTGCCTCTCAGTTTTAGGAGAATAAGTTCTTGCTTGAGTAGAGAAATGAATCCATTTCACTTGGTCTTTTCTATGCTAAAGGCTTGCTTGAGGGCTTCTCTCTGTGTCTGTAATAATTAATATTTTAAAGTTGTGAGAGGGGGAGAAAGGAGAGACATTCTAACAACGTGTGTAAGCCTAAATTGGGGATCTAAACCTGCATGCTGGGAGTTCAGTGCTACAGCTGCCTTATAAGCAAATATTTAGACCAACTTAATGAAATAATGCCTGCTTTAGAAATGCTGATTTTAGCTATATGATTAGGTATAGTTATACGGGGTGGGAAAAAGTAGATTTACAGGTGTTCTTGTGGAAAATAATACAATAATTAATAATAATACTAAAGTAAACTCTGTTTTGCATACTCAACAACTATAAACCCACTTTTACCCACTCCTCTTTTTATCAGCATACTTCCACTTGGAAATCTTAGGAAAATATTAAACCATTCTCAGAACTGGCTAGGATTCTAGTAAAATAAATAACCATTTCTAAAAGATTTATAATATATTTTTACTTGATCAGTTTAATATTTTGCCTTAAATCACTAATGGGAAATTTGGGAAAACAAAAAATCCTTCACTTTATTGATGCATGTTTAACATTTTTAAAAATGCTTGGTCTGTGTGTCTCATGCAAATTTTTCTGCCTGGTCTCATGTGGAGTTATTCTTAGATACAGCTTATTAATGTTACACACTTTTGAAGTGTATGTGGTTAAAGGTAACTTATTTTTATAATCAATCTCTTAAAGGTTCTGATTTGATCTGATGTCTTCTTTGTCCCAGGCCTTCTTTCCAGCTTATTAAGGTCTCTTGGAAATGTGCTTGCCATTCTAAATTGCTCTTTGGTATACTATTGTGAGAAGTCTTGAAGACTTGGATGAGTTATAGGATGCTTAGCAATGCAGCCAAAAATTTATATAGAAGTCAGGAAATTTTCAGTTATAAATAAATGAATCAGTGTTGATAATACAACATTCTTAGGTTAAATTGTGTTTATTTCTAGTCATGGGTAAAATTGTCTCTAAAAGATATAAACAAAAGTTTTACTTTTAGTCCCACAATTTATTTAGAAAGTATCATGTGTACCATATATAATGACATAAAAAATGAAATAGCAGCTTTATAACAACTTAGGAAACATTACAGGGTTTTTCACAAATTCATACAGTTCCACCAATTATGAGAAATAGTGCTACTTGGAGATTTAAGCAAATAGATTTTTCCTATTAACAAAAAAAGTACAGATTTTAAAAAATCAAGTAAAACTTATTCTAATGAGTCTTCTGAATAATAGTGAAAACTATAAAATAGATATGGTAATTGCCTTGCTTAACTCCTTTACTCATCCAGGCAGAACCTTTCAACTAATGCTTCCTTTTCTTTTCTGAATTAGTTTTAAGGAAATGTTAATTGCTGCTTTTATATTCTATATAAACTGTCAATTATATATCATTGCTATTTATAGAATTTTTCTCTAAGAAATTAATATGTTTCTTCCAGCATAAAACGACCATCAACAGCTGAGAAGTCACATAATTCCTGGGAAAATTCAGATGATAGTCGTAATAAATTATTGAAGGCAGTTTCAACATCAAAATTAATATCAAAAGTTATAAAAAATACAGACAAGTAAGTATTATACTTTCTCAGTTATATCTGAAAATTAGTAAATATGTGACTGTCATGTTTGCATGTACAATTAAGTGCCTGGTTTGAATTATTTTTTTTTTTGAAACCTGTAACATAGACACAGATATCAGCATGGTGATTACCAGAAGGAACGAGGAGTGAGTAGGACAGTGATGGCGAACCTATGACACGTGTGTCAAAGGTGACACGCGAACTCATTTTTTTGGTTGATTTTTCTTTGTTAAATGGCACTTAAATATATAAAATAAACATCAAAAATATAAGCCTTTGTTTTACTATGGTTGCAAATATCAAAAAATTTCTATATGTGACACAGCACCAGAGTTAAGTTAGGGTTTTTCAAAATGCTGGCATGCCGAGCTCAAAAGGTTCACCATCACTGGAGTAGGAGGAGGAAGAAGAGGGTGTAAGGAGGATAACTGGTGATAGAAGGAGACTTGACTTGGGGTGTTGAATACACAAGACAATATACAGATGATGTATTATAGAATTGTACACCTGCAACCTATATAATTTTATTAACCAATGTCACCCCAATAAATTCAATTAAAAATAAAATAAAAACCTATATTATAATTTATCTTTTTTTCCCTAAGTATATCTTTTTCTTTTAAATGTTCTTAAAAAGACTATGTTTTCCTATTAATGCACCTCAACTCAAATAGTAAACCTCAGTGATCCCATAAGATTTGAGTGTTTTTTTATAAATTGTTTCTATGCTTTCACTCTTTAGTTGATCTTATGAAATATTCATTATTTTATAAAATAATAGGTTAGTAGTTGAAACCAGTGAGAAGCTTTTTAAAATATAGATGCCTGAATTTCATTTCTAGAGATTTACTTGGGGTATGGCCTAGGGCAGTGATGGCGAACCTTTGACACACGAACTCATTTTTTTGGTTGATTTTTCTTTGTTAAATGGCATTTAAATATATAAAATAAGTATCAAAAATACAAGTCTTTGTTTTACTATGGTTGCAGATATCAAAAAATTTCTATATGTGACACGGCACCAGAGTTAAGTTAGGGTTTTTCAAAATGCTGACACCCCAAGCTCAAAAGGTTCGCCATCATTGGCCTAGGCATTGAAGCTTTTACAGTTTTTTCAGGTGGTTCGTAATAATGGTGAGCCAAATAAAATTATAAAATAAATGCCTTTGAATTTCTTTTGTAGGCATAAAGATGTCATCATCAATCAAGGTAAAAATTATTTTTTAAAATCTTTGCTTTTCTATATCAGTTAAATTTTTGCTAATTGATCAGTATACTGACTATTTTCATGCAGTGTACTTTATTAGCTCATAGTAATTAAAGAGAAGTGCATTATTATAGTCATTTAAGAAAATGCCCAATTATTATAAGATATCATTTTTGTCTCAACCAGCAAAAATGTCAACCCGTGAAAAAAACAGCCAAGGTAAGAATAAGTTATGCAGTTGGTCACCTTCTAAGTTAATTTCTTCCTGTATCTCTTAATTTGACTTTTCATTTATTTATACTACCCGACTTTCCTCAAATTACTATATTTGAACTAATGAACTCAACTAATTTTCTAAAAATCTATCTTATTTCTGTGAGCTCTGAAGATTCAAGGTCAACAGTAGAAATAAATACATCATTACAAAGAGGTATAAAATGCTAAAGGGAATTTCTCTCTTTAAAAACCTAAGTTATACTTAGAAAAGCCATTTAAAAGATTGATCAATTTTAACTCAATTTCCTGTCTTGCCAACTTAATTGCAAATAATCACTTATTTTTTTTTAATGTTTTTATTGCTTTCATAGAGGAAAAGAGAGAAATATCAATGATGAGAGAGAATCATTGATTGGCTGCCTCCCACATGCCCCCTACTGGGGATCAAGCCCGCAACCCAGGCATGTACCCTTGACCGGAATCAAACCCAGGATCCTCCAGTCTGCAGGCCGACGCTCTATCCACTGAGCCAAAGCGGCCAGGGCTCACTTATTTTTTGAAGCTCAGACTGAAAATATGAATCTAGAAAATCCATTTTTTCTTAAATGTTTTTATATTAATTATAATTTCTGGCTACTTGCTGCTGTTGACTTGTTCTGACCGAAAAATGAGAGACTTTTGTAAATGTGTATTTAATTTAATTGCAAAGTAGGTATGTTTTATACATCAGTTTTACATCCCCCTTAGATTGCCTGCAGATTTAATTGAAGCATGCTCTCTAAATGAAAGCATGTCCTTTTTGTGCATGCTTTTTACAGTTCGTTTCTGTGTGTTGTAGTTATTTTTATTTTCTGACTTACATTAACCAGATACATTATGGTTAACATTTTTGCTGAGATTTAACTTGATTTCTATGAATTTTTACCTTCTCTAGTTTCAATAACAGGAGAAATATTTATTTGTAATCTTCTTTGGATTATTTCTTTTTCTTAGAGATTTTAAATGAAGTTGATTTTAGCTGGCATTCCTCACCTTTAGTTAGGGCTTACTTTCTCCCTCTTTTATAATTTAAGTATAGACTAAGCAGTGATTGAAATAGTTGAAGGAAATAATAAGATTTTTATTTACAAAGACAGTTTTTATTTCTGTATATCAAAACATTTTTTAAAAATAGAAGTAGTGATATGTAGTGGAAAGAGCTGTGAATAGAAAATCTCTGTGTTGGGTGTTTAGTCCTGGTTCTTCTAGCCTTGTGACCTAGGCAAAATGTCAATGTCTCTTAGAGTTTTCTAATATGAGAATAATAACTATAAAGTTTACGTCACATGGCTGCTGAAGGATGAAATAATATACAGGGGTGAGCAAAAGTAGGTTTACAGTTCATATGGAACTAGATATGCAGATTATGATTATTACAGTAGTTTTATAAACTATTTTGTGTACTCACAACTGTAAACCTACTTTTGCTTATCCTCTATATATGAAAGTACTTTAAAAATAGAAGACACCATAACTATAAAAAGGTGCTTTTATTATTACATGTTTTGCTAAAGAGCTTAAATTTTGTAAAATCCTATAGGATAAATGAGAAAGGGCTAGCTGCCTTTTTCTCATGTTGAAGTATGTTCTTTGGAAGGAAAAAGGAACTTAAGATTAGTATTGTAATAAGTGAATGGTTTGAATTGGTAACAGTTTTCAATACTCTTCAGTTATGGAAGTAAATAAATGTATTTAAAAGGGAAGATTTTTGCTATAAAAGCATCACTAAACAGGGTTTTAATGCCTGTGTCTAGAAAGATTGATGGAATGGAAAGCTGGAAAAGATAATAGAAAAATAAATTCTGTTATAAGAATTTTTTACCTCAAAAAGATTGTCCCAGATGTTGGAATTGAATATCAATTGTTGCTTGCATTTAGATTTTTATTTTTTTGGAATTTGAGTCAGTTCCTTTGCACTTTAATGAGTTATATTCTATCTGTAGTGTACTCTTAACACTAGAGTGTATCTTTAGGGAGAAGTCTTGTATTTCAGCTTGTTAGGCAGTACAGGCCTGACTGAGATTGAGACAGAATCTGTAAGAATCTTTAGAAAGAAGTAGATGGATTCTAGATAGTTTAATAGGTGGGGTAGAAGAGATAAGGAACAGAGGGGAATCTATGAAGGCTAGCTTGAGCAACTAGATCAGAGGCATCTACTAAAGTGACATTTGAGGAAGAGTAGATGTATAGAAAAGAGTAAGAGTTTGGTTTTGAACAGATACACTTAAATTGTCTGTAAGACTTAATCTGCTGTGTAGCAAGCCACATAGTGTACCAAGCATGTCATACTCGCAGCCAGCGGGCCTCATGCCTCATTTAAATAAACACGAGTTTGACATGCTTGACTGTAACTGTTTAAACACATGTATTTTGGAGTCCAGAGAATGGATTCACCATTATTTAGCTTTGTGACTTAAGATTACTACTTCTTTTTTGTGGGGGGAGGTTTATCCTCACCTGAGGATATTTTTCCCCATTGATTTTTAGAGAAAGTGAAAGGAAGGTGGAGAGGCAGAGAGACACATAGATTGGTTGCCTCTTGCCCGCACCCCAGCTGAGGCCAGGGATGGAGCCTGCAACCAAGGTACATGCCCTTGACCGAAATTGAACCCAGGACCCTTTAGTCCACAGGCCAATGCTCTATCTAGTAAGCCATTTTCTTAAGTTATTTGTTTTCTCATGAGACAATAATAAATTCTAAATGATTATTATAAAAATAAAGATAATAAAATGTTTAAACATAGTACCTGGCACATCGAATCAAGTAAGTTTTAGTTGTTACATCCTTGTACTGAAATGTGTTGTAAGATGAAAAGATGACCATTAAATAGATAACCTTCATTTGATAAAATTGTAGATATATTTTTAAAGTTTGGTATTCATTTTGGATAGCGTATTTCACAGCACATTTACTTACACCTTAGGTATTAATCCAAAACGTGTTATTTTTAGACACTCTTTAAAATATGATTTATTGATTTCTTTAGCTCTTTTTGACAATGACAAGTATGACTTGCTCCAAGCCATCTGTTTTGATTTGGGAAGAAGCCTATTTACATTTGATACGTTTAGGTGAGTGGTAGCAGGGAAAATTTTACTTCAAAGGCCTGCGTCCTTCAGCCACAGCAGAGTAGTAGGAGAAGAGCTGTATGTAAGCTGCATGTTCTGATCAGCACTCAGGCAGAAGGAAGGAAACCGTGCGTGAAAGCACTGGAAGGTGGAATGGGATGTATACAGGGCAATCTCTGAAGCTAGGTGTGGGTGGAAGGACAGGTTAGACCACTGAAAAGAGGCTCTTACTGACTTAGATCTTTATCTACACTCAAATCCCAGAAGCCTAAACACTTTCATTACTCTTCTTTCTATTTCTGGCACATTCTGCTACCATCGCAAAAGAAATAAAGACTTAGCACATCAAGTTAAACTGAAGAAATTTTCCTGTAGGACTGTTTATTGTTAGATGTAGCAGTTAGGTTTCTAGTACAATACTACTCATTTAGTAAGTTATTAATTAGAAAGCTTTTTGAGCTAACTTTTATAAAATTATTTATTGGGGGAAATAGATAATCTGACAAATTTTGTAATAAGCAAAATGAATACAGCCTATAAGCTCATCCTTATAATGGTTATCCATATATCCTTTTTTAAATATGGAAAATAAGTTTCACATGAATGCCCTCAAGTTATTGCGTATTACTGTGTGTTTTTTTCAGGCTTGGATAATCTTTTGTCACTTTTTCTGTATAGTGTCTTAGCAAATAATTGTCTGATCATATTAAGAACCTGAATGACTCAGATTCCTATTGGAGAGAAATCTGCTTAATTGAGGAAAAGGAAACTCATCAACCACCAAGTCACACTCTTCCTCTTATAGCGGGTTTCATTGCTCTAAGATTAGATTCATTCTTGCTTAATTGTCAAATCATGCAGTAACATCCTAGTTACAGGTGTATTTAGCGGGAAAAATAGTTATTATATTTTAGAAAATTGAGACGTAATTGACAATTTATTAGCTACTAAGCTACCTGTCTAAAAATGGCTTCAGATGAAAAGTACAAGTCATTTTGAAATACATAACTGTCTAAATGCCTTCGGTAATTTGTTGTAGCCACACAGTTCAAATAATCTAAAAATATAAAATCATTTATAAAATTGGAAAAAGAAAACTCTTAAGTAATCTTATAATTTTAAAAGCTAGTCCAGTTCTGATGTATTTCTTTATTCTTTATCAGATACACTTTTTTAAAATAATTTTTTTAATATATTTAATTGACTTTTTACAGAGAGGAAGGGAGAGGGATAGAGAGTTAGAAACATCAATGAGAGAGAAACATCGATCAGCTGCCTCCTGCACATCCCCTACTGGAGATGTGCCCGCAACCAAGGTACATGCCCTTGACCGGAATCGAACCTGGGACCCTTCAGTTCTCAGGCCGACACTCTATCCACTGAGCCAAACCGGTTAGGGCTAAAATAATTTTTTATTGTTGAAAGTATTACATATGTTCTCCCCTTTCCCCCATTGACCTTCCCCAGCCCGCCTCTGCCCTTTGCGCCCCAGGCCTTCAGCACCCTATTGTCTGTGTCCATGGGTTATGTATATATGCATACAAGGTTTTTGGTTGATTACCTCCCACCCAACCATCCTTCCCCACCTTCCCTCTGAGATTCCGCACTCTGTTCTAGTATGCTTCCATGTCTCTGGATCCATTCCATTTATCCATTTATTTTGTTACTTAGATTCCACATATGAGTGCAATCATGTGATACTTGTCTTTCTCTGACTGACTTATTTCACAGGTATCATGCTAAGTGAAATCAGATACACATTTTAAACATTCATTTAACAAATACTTATTTAACAAGTGCTTATTTTATCAAGACCTATCCTAGGCACTCCAGGATTCATCAGTTATAATGTCTGAACTTTGTGAAACATATTCTGCATATAAGAAGCAGATAAT